TTTTTTTGAGCTCTTTCAGCAGAGAACGCAGCCGCCGATTACAGGCTGGTGCTGGGAGAAGATCCGAGATGTCTTCGTCTTCGTCATCCAAGTGCTCTAGTAAGGCGATGAAGTATCGAAAACGTTGAGCTCCATCTCGTGTCCTGCCGAATTACCGGACGCAGGTCCGTTTTAAGCCTAAACTTAAACAAGTTAGAATAATTTACAACGATTTAGACAATTTTAGCACAAAAACTCAAAATTGAGCAATACTTACCGGAGCTTTGCGGATTGGGTCAATGTCCTCAACTTGATCATCAGCGCTTGAACGGCTGCAAGATCGTTCTCGTGCTCCTGGAGCTCTCGTTGAACCGCACGATTCAACTGATGCGATGCACAGCCAACACCAACAAGCGTTGCAAGGCGACGATTTACGCTACAGTTGTCGCCCACTAGGAACACACATTCATGTACCTGCCTTCCAAAGTCTCGAGGCAGCATGTCTGCCAGGAATTCTCGGTGGGCTACCGCCGAGAGATCATTATCCTCGTCATTAAGCAGTGGGGTCATGGAGAAGAGTGGGGTCTTCGACTTGCCGTTGAGCTCATAGCAGGCAAAAACCGCTACGTAGTGCTTCGAACAATGGGTCCATCCATCTAGGATGAGCCCACAACGTTCCGGCATTTCGGAAGCGATGACTCGCTCCACCGCCCGAGCCACACCATCCATCGTGGCTCGCAGCGTCTCAACCAGACTGGATCGAGGGTCGTGTAGCTAAATAGCAAAACTCTTAGTTAAAAAAAAATAAAATCAAAATTCACTGGGCTGGGAGGCGCTGGTTGAAGGGTTTGTTTGTTGCAAATTGGAGAGTGACCCGCTGAAAGCTGTACAATTCTTCGTTGAAGGCATGTGAGAATATACTAATGGTTGATTCACAGTGCGTGCTCCACTAGCGCTTGGTGTTACTCAGATAAATAATGAAGAAAGTTAGGTTAGTCCATGTAATTATGATATGTGGCAGTTGTTCAGCTAAAATGTACAGCATTTATGATCATTATTATTATGGCCATTCTACAATCGGCAGGTCCCTTTACAGTTGTTTCATCAGCATCAGCATCCTCCTTGGTGGAGCTCGAAGGTTTAATTACGGCTTGTGTAGGCGAGAAATCAGATTTCTTTCGCAGGCATTACAACATGTCCAGTATAATCTTGGCTTCTTTTTTTTTTTACCACACTAAACTCATTGTAGCTATCGTGCGCGTTGCAAATTGCAAGGAACGGACACATAACGTGCATGTTTATTACAATAGCGTTCGGATCGTTCTGAGAGTGACCTTAGCGCAGCTTGCGTCCGCGAACATACGCCAGCGCACGACGGTCTAGGCGTTTTGTCTTCTGGATGGAGACTGCACTGGAAGGAGCCGGGTGGTGGTTGTAGTCTGCGATGGAGTGATGCATGGACACCGGGTGGCAAGAGAGCTCATCTTCCTCGTCGCCCATTCCAATCTGTAAAATTATACATCGAGGTTAGTAACACTAAACTACTTGTAGATCTGTAAGTAGAAGGGAATACCCTACCCATTCGTCTTCGGTGGTTGCCATAACATGCAGAGAGTAAAGCGCCAAAGCCAACTGAAGCCACTGGACGAGTAGTTCCGACCCGAGGAAAACAGAAAGTAGACACTACAACATTGAACCACAACATTAAAAACCACGTCACTGTATAACTCCAATTGCAAGGATACGTACCTGTGTTGCCAGCGACAGGAAGAATATCGGGCTGCACAAATTGCTAGTCTTCACGGCCGAAATGATGAAGGAGGCGAGCAATAGCTCCGCACCTGCGCACCAAGACAAATGTTAGTGCTTTCCGGTCAATATACCAGGGCAAGAAGTGTCCAAAGCCTACCGTTCAAGTCCAAGAGGAAGCTGTGGTGTGATATCCCCTCAACCAAGAAGACGAGTGGTAGTATAACGCGGAAAGTTGTGACCATGGCGGTGGGTCCGTTCGTACAAAATAGCTGGACCAAGAAAGCGTACCAGAGACACACCGGTGCCCAAGGAGGTGCCCACGGGAACACATACTGGACCAGGAACGGAAAGCCATACAGGAACGCGAAGCAGAAGCCGATGTGGCGGTGGGTCAAAATCGCGCGGAAAGCAACCCGATGGATACGAATAAACCATGACGCAGCGTGCAGTGACAGCAGTAAAACCACACTGAATACCACGGCCAGCACGGACTCCACGTAAGAAAAAATGGTAGCTAGCAGACCCTTAATGTTCAGCTGACCAGCAATCCAGGCACAACCACGTCGCGTGCCAAGGTAAGCCTGCAATCCAGTTGAAACAGCGGCCGCGCTTCCCTTGCGTAGCCCTTCGCTGATTCTCGTGACGAGCGGCGTACTTTTGATGCTCAAGGCCTCCAGAAGTTTGTCTTGCGCTTCGGTGGTCGAGTCGTTCGGAGCTTCGGCAGCCTTAGCAGTGGTTGAAGACCCCCGCTTGTCTTTCTTGCCTCGAGTCTTCTTCTTGTCCACCTTATCCTTCTTAGGCTTCTCCTTGCGGTGTTCCTTCACAGTTGGCTTCTTGTCAACTTGGGATGACTCAAGACGAACAGAATGCTCAGCCTCAGTAGTTGACGTACGCTGACTCTCGACTCGAGTAAGCGCTTCCTTCTTTGACTTCTTCTTCGATGCTGCACGTAGCTGGTTCACGGCTACTTGAGCTCGTTCCGCGTCAGACTCCGAGCTTTCTACTGACGACTCCGGTGCGTCCGCTTTGGTCTCTCGACGTCCATCCTTGCGCTCTTCAACTGCATCTTCTAAAGCATCGCTAGACGAAAATGACTCACGTTCCGGACTAGTCGCTTGGCTCTCTACCGTGTTGCGTGAAGTGTCCTCACACGTCGGGATGCTGTCGGCGTCCTCGTCAGAGGCGGGAATCTTCGCATTGTCAGCATAATCCTCCGCGGTATCATCATTGACACTAGATCCCTTTGCAGAGGCTTCATCAGTATCATCACCACCCTCCTTGGCAGAGCTCGAAGGTTCACATGCAGCTGTTGGAGGCGGAGAACTGCTCTTAGCTTCTAACGTGACGCTCTCCATCCCTTCAGTACGTGTAGCATCAAACTCGCTGCTCTCTTGAGGAGAATCCGATGCAGTGTTTGGTGACGCAGCACTTGAGGTGGTTGGCTCAGACAACGACACCTCCTTCACAGGTTCCTTCACTTGCTTCTCACGATACACCTGGCGACGAGTAGTACCAGCGTTTTTATCGTTGCCTCTCGCAGGATTCCTTCTCGGTGCACTGCGACCGGCAGGTTTGGTATCATCTCGGCGCTTTGTTTTGCCAGATTCTCGCGCAGTTACAGTCGTCGGGCTTCCACGTGACTCAAGACCTGGAGGAGGACTAACAGCAGATCCAGAATCTTCACTTTGGTTCGTCTGTGCTCGTCTGCGGGTATCCGCACTCGACATGGAAGAAGTTGCGTCTCTATCAGTCATCTGATTGCGCCGTTTTCCTCTGGTTTGCTCGTTATTGCGGTTGCTATCATACGAGGGAGAGTCGTGGCCCATTGGAGACATCACTTTTCGGCCACGTTCAGCGCGTCTTGATCTCATAGGAGACCCAGGCGTAAACGCGTTGATCGCATCCATGCTAAACTCCAAGGCCTTCGCACGCAGATCCGAGCGGCCTTCAAACTTCTTCCTTCCCTCTCGAGCTTTCTTAGGACTCCGAGGCGTCTTCGCTCTAGCTTGAATGTCAATTCTCCTAGAGGTCGTGGGTGCTCGATTATCCCACATCGACGAATCAACAGCTTGTCGAACATTCATCCCATCCATCTCGCCAACTCTCAACGAGTGAGTGTTAAGCTCCGCTAGATCCGGGTTCGATACGCCTCGTCCATCAGTCCCATCACCCAGCGAATTATCACCAAACACACCAGTCGAAAGTCTCAAACTGGACAGTAAACTGGATCCATACTGGTCATCACCGCCTGAAAAAGCTCTGTTTGGTGCACTTTCACTTGAAGATGAGGGAAGAAATGGTCCGAATTGAGATCCCGATACACGCTGTTGCATCCGAGTCTGCATAGCGCTGGGCTCACTGAGTCCAGGAGGACCTACTAACCCAGGAGGACGTTGGAGTATCCGTCGGGGTTGAGACGTATCCATCGCGGCAGATGACCACGTCCGCATTGAATTCGATCCAAATAGACTCTCGGTATCTGCACCACTTAAGTACGACATTCCTCCGCCACGATACAAGTTTTGGGTCTCTGAAGCTCCGTACACGCTTGAATTTCCTCCATCTCCTTGCATTGAGAAGCTCTTGGCAGCCTCCTGTCCCCGATCAAACATGGATGTGGGGGATCTGATCGCTCCAGCTCCTCCAATTGATTTGGTATCACTGATTCCAGGCCCAAACGGTCCAGCAAGACCAAAAGGGCTACTGGAACTTGGTGTCGATCCCGCAGAGTGTTCATAGTCTCGAGAAGATCGTGGTGTGTGTATTTCACCTCCCAGATCTGATAGCAAGTAGTTGGTAGGTCTGGGTGATAAGGCAGGGTCTCCACTTGAGCCAAAAGGTGACAGATCGAGCGTCGGACGGGGCCGCGTGTGGAGACCACTAAAGTCGACATCACTCCTCGAGTTTGAGACCCCAGCGACTGTGGACACCGTCGATATACTACCAGTAGCCGTGGCTGTTGGCTGGTTGGTCGTGACAGCAGTACTACGACCTCCAATGGGGCCAAAACTCGCCTTTATGCGGCTATTATTTAAAAAAAAAATGACATAAGTAAAAAGTCGATATTGAGCTCAATAAGAGGAGTTGATGGGCTGAAGAAGCCTGGGTAGATAGAGCAGACGCACCTCTGCTTGGGAGGAGAGTCGTCGGCGATGCCATTGGGCAGGAAATACGCCATAGCTGGCTCATCGTCCGCGTCCATTGCCTCCTGCGATCCTAGCGATAGTTGTAGACTGGCTGGCTTTCAGTAACAGTGGGATGTTGCACGAAGGTAAGAGGTTGCAGGAAGGTAACATTTAATGTGATATACATAGTAAAATCAAGTTGAAGTTGTTGTTTTTTCCTGTTTTATTGCGGTTTTCTTAGATGTGAGCCTGTCCTCTCCTCGCTGCCACCTCCAGCCACGCGCTAGGCTAACAAGATAACAAGTCCTTGATTCCTAAAGTTGGTTGAACGAGTGTGGCTGCTGGCTGGAAGCACGGCGTGGGGGGTCGATTACAACACCATACAAATACCCCCGAAGAGAAGAAGGCGCCAAGGTGCCGTGAGCCATAGGATCGGGCCTAGTTTGTTGTTTTTTGTTGAAAGCAGACACCTCCTGTTCGGCCAGGGATGGATCTCGCAGTGCAGCACTCATCAGTTGCCAGGACAGTTGTCCTGGGCGTTCGTAGCGAGGTGCGGCGTCGGGCTGAGGGAAGAGAGCACGTAAGTAAGAGGCAATGCCGTCTAAGAGACAATGCCATACACGCACCAAACTAGATAGCTTGGTTCGTCTTCAAGGTCCGAGTCTTCGTCGATGGCCATACGTGACACTTCAAGCTCGAGCTGGTCAATTTCCACTATAAAGAAGATCAGTGAATGGCCTAAAGAGTGGAACGTTTAGAGGTTATTTCAGACCTGGAACGACAGGACGAAAGCCTGCGTGCTGCGAGGAAGAGCGCATCTGGCGACGAATACGCTCCTGGTCAACTGGAGAGCATTCGGTAAAGTTGTGCTTAGTGTTGGGAACTTCAGTCTCCAGGTCCAAAGAGACTTCCGTTCGGCACAGTGGGCACGACGTGTGATTCCACAGCCACTTGTCCACGCAGCATGCACTGCGAAGATGGAAAAAAAAGACGTAAATAAGCAAAGTATTTTGTTGTAGCAGAGATACTGTCAAAACGTACTGGAAGAAGTGTTGGCAAGGAAGCGTGACGATGTGATCACCAATGCCGTAACGAAGTTGGCAAATCGTACACTCCTTGCTAGTTTCGTTAGCTGTGCCCAGTGCCAATGGCAGCTGGTATCGAACCTCAATTGGTAGGCCCCTACGTAGCAAAAAAAAAAGAGAAGTTAGCGTCACTGGTAAAAGCAAAATGATGCGCGATAGCCAACGCACTTTTCTTCCATCAAAGGGCTGAAACACTGGAACTCGGGGCTACTGCTGAGGTCGTAGTCTCCCACCAAGATCTGGCGGTACATTTCTTCTTTAGCCAACTTGCTGTCGCAGCCCCGCTCAGACTTCTCCGCGCTGGAGACAAGTAGCGTTAGTTGCAGCAATATCAATTGCCAACAAATGATAGGAACACGAACCAGAATGACTGGTCCATCGACGACAATTGGCTGAGCTCGTCATCGCTACTACTGCTGCACATTACATAGCAATCGTCATTACAAGATCAACAGCACTACATCCACTAACACAAACTTACCTTGATCCAGGACTCATCATGCCGTAGTCTCTGTGCTTGGACACCACGTCGTAGTGCCACCCGAACTCTTTGCATTCCAGATCTCCATCAAAGCATCCTTCAATAGAGCGCTTACGAGCGTTGCTCTGCTCCATTTTGCGCTTCCTAATGCAGTCTTCCAGCACAGCTCGAGCGCAGTTCACAAGCGGGTCCACTGTCGAGAACGACTGCGAGTTGAAAGAAGAAGTCGACGAGACCGTTGACGCAGCCGAGGGAGAAGATGGCGGGAATGCAGCCTTACCCGATCTCGAAAAACTACCATCAAAGTCGAACACTGGGGTTTCAGCCACCGGGAACTTGTCTGTCGTATCATTTCTCGACGAGCTAAAGCTCGAACTTGCACGTCGATTGGGCTTGGACTGCGGAGTTGAGAACGCGAACATGTTGGCGCCTGCATCCGGTGCTCTCATCTCCGTATCCTCGTTAACATCCGGCAGGAATTGAGTGTTCCTCGTGGCTACTACACGTGCAGCTCGAGCGCTGGCCATAGACGAAGAGCTCTTAGCACTGCGTCTGTCTTTCTTAGCTGCCGGTCGCTTGCTCTTGCCCATAGACCACGAGATGTCAGATGACGCTGCACGTTTGTCCTCTCGAGTCGAGAACATGAACGAAGAGGAAGACGACGCGCCCAGTGACGCTTTCTTGCTGCTAGTATAACCGTCTCGAGGTCCACGATTAGACAGCGATGTCGCCATCTTCTTCTTGGACGGCACGGCTGAAGCCCGAGAGCTTCGCGCCGTCGACGACGCCGTCGCCGAGAAGAATTTAGGAGACGAGGAATTGTTCCCAGCATCAGGGGAGCTGGACCAGCTCAGGGACGAGAAATTGTCCTCCTTGGGCGTCCGGGTGGTGCGTTTCTGCCACCGCACCCCGTTAGAAGGGGACGCCGTGGCTGCTGGTTTACTATTACTACTGCTATAGGTGTGGTTATTAGTGTCGTAGGGCGAGCCTACATGGCTGCTGGAGGCCGTGGTGCCGCTCTTGCCGTGGGTCCAGCGCCACCACAGACCCTCCTTGGACATGGACGAGGACGCTCGCGTGCCATCGACGGCCTTGGACTCCATGCGCGCTTGATCGCTGGGCTTCTACGGGGATTTTATTGTCAGAGTGTCAGTTTTATCTTACAGAATTAATACACAGGTTCAAAGTGAAGACGCACCGACTGCGTGACTTCCAATACGTGAATTACGATACAATTATGCGGGTCTGTTGCCAGGGTGCGCAGCATTAGCGTCTTGCAACAATACGGCAAAGCAACGGA